CATTCCTGAGGAAGGGTCAAAATCTACACTAATCTCAGAAAACAAGGGTCACAAACCAGCCTCCAAGTCAATTTGTTGGCCCAGCTTAGGTGACTTAAACTCAGGTGAGGGGGAAGCTTGTTTTTCCAGCTTCAGTTGGAGGGTACTATATGACTGTAAAGCCCTTGGTGTGGCTGCCAATCTTACGTTTTGTGGTGCAGATGACAGCCTCTCTAAGAAAAAGCAGAACTCATGATTAGCACAACCACTGTTACCTGTATATTCTACTTGACCTGATTATGGAACAAACCAAATACTTTTTCACTAGATTATGTTTTCCACCCATTTATGTGGTCACAACAGAACACAGAAATACATTATGAAGACTGTTTTCCATTTTCACCTCCGTAAATATTCACCAAACAAAAACCAATATATATTTCACTTTGTTTCGCTATCAAGCATAGGCATGGGGCAGTGCAGACAGCTATGTGGCATTCTGATAACAACCTTATCATCCTCGCCCCAGCCTTCAAGAAAAGTGAAGAATCATAACAATCTTCCACTGCAATCAATAAGACTCAAGTATGAGTCAAGCAATTTTTTTTCTTTGTTTTGATGGTACTTTTTTGTTGTTTTCATTAAATCTAGCACAGTGACAGAGATGAGGGTGCCCATTTCCTTCCCTTTCAAATAAATGATTCTTTTTCTTCTTCCCTGAACTAAAACACATTGAAAATTGCTCTAACTCAACAAAGTGCTATGTGAGAGGTGTGCTGGGCAGGAGTCTTCTGAGTATCTCAGCATGCTTGTTTTTAGTTTATCTTGCAATATTACACATGGAGCTTTAGGACTCAAATCCAACACGTTGGCTTTGATTTTCTCCTCCTCTGAATCAAAAGGGAGACTGGTACTGAACGCACTGTGGCTGGGAACTAGCAAATTTCAATGTCTTTCTCTAGTGACATATAGGTAGGTGGATTTGTGTATCGCTTTTCAAGGAGATGTCATCTGCCCCGGCTTATGTTCTATTTTCTGACTTGGTTGGGCACATATCAGTTTTGTTACCACCGTCCCAAAGCCACGTATATCATGATGTTATATAACCAAATTTGGTACATACTGAAAGAAGTAAGCCGGTAGTTATTTGGTTTAGAAATGTGCTGTCAGAGATTAGCATCTGGCATGGCTGACTAGTCACAGTGTAAGACAAGGGGATATGGGCTAAGCTCTTGTTTCTGGACCAGTGAAGATACCTACTCAGTGGAAACTTCATGAGCACCCCTGGGAGGAAGAAGTGCTCTATGATCTTTGCAAGCAGGCCCCAGAAGGAGCCTGTGAAAGGGAAGGAGGAGGAACAAACAGGGTTGTTCTAGTAGAGGGAGGGAAGACAGAAACGTGTGAGAGAGAATGAGGAGAAATGTGGGAAAAAACCGCACCCTAGCAAGTCATATTTCCTAAAGAGACCTGTGGTCTTACAGTATGTACAGTTTCTAAGGGCCAAGCCAATTGTTTCTGACACCAGCTGAACAGTTGTTCAACCAAAGGAGTAGCCCCACACCTCACCAGGAGTACTTTGGTACTTAAGTATGTTCCCAACGGCTCCAAAAACTGATTCTATGCTTTTTTTCCAAATGAAAACAGAACTGCGCAACAAATGTGCTTCCTTAGATGAGATATTAGCCAGTAGTATTTACTTTGTAAAGGCCATTGGTGGATTCTTAATACAGGCCTAAGGATCCTGTGGCATCACTTAGAAACAGCAAGTGCAAGCAAGAAGCAGCAGAACTACGTGGTATTTTCAGTGTGCCTCTGGTTTGCTTACCACAGTATCAGCCACCAACTGCCAACAGCCCCCGCTATGAAGCGCAGCGTGCCACCCACCCCATCAGATGCACTCAGCACGGCAGTCCTGCTGTACGGTGCTGCTCCTCCACGCAGCAGTGTGCTTTATATGGCAAGCACACCGATTTGACAGCTATTGTAAACACCCTACAGTCACAGTAAAACACAGCCGTTTTCAGCTATGCTGAGAAAGAGCTTGTGTTTATTATGGTGGTGACTCTACCCTGTGTAAAAGTTATTGACATCCGATGGACTCATTCATTGCTAGATCTGTGCCCTTCGTTTAAAGCCAGCAATGCTCTTCAGGTTGGAATTTTCCAAATATAGCTTTGACAACCCAGTTCTGAGAACCCAGGGGAAGAGACATGACTACTTTGCTAATTGATGCTGATACACCAGGGAGAATCGGCACTGTCGACAGCACAGTTTTCCCTTAAAGTGGACTAGGTCAGTTGGATGCCAATTGCACTAACTCAAACAGTAATTCTCATAACTAGACCCTCTTTCCCTAAATTATTACACATCCACAACAGTATTACTAGAGTGGGAAAACTGTGCACTCAAATGTTTGGGGAGACCAGCACTGAAACAGCGCACGTGAATTTAATTTCAGCTGCCTGTGTATGTGCCTTGCATAGTTTCAAGCCACTTGGAACTAGCTGATAATCTAGTTTCGCTTCTTGCATAATCCAAGACATACATTTCCCTCTGGTAGGGGACTGAACATACTGTGCTCAAGAACTTGTATTTTTAATAACAGTACAGCTAGTACTTGGCTAATACATACATTTCAGAAAGGCATCCAGTATTCTTCTGATGGCCTCGAGGAGATGCACAATTTACCAGTTGGTACATTATATCCTCAATTGCATAAACGCAGTCTTAAGTTCTCCATGGGGACACCGTCTCATTCAGCGCACAGCTAGCAGCCATTCAATTTTTTTTTTTTGCCCTTTTTATTTGATGCGTAGCCCTAAAAGTCTTGTTTACTGCACATTATTCCAGCTCTGTTCTGAAGGCAGAATGATTAATTTCTTTACAGGCTTTTCTATAGTGCTCATCAGATGCTTCTAACTTGTTATGTGCAATTTCCTAGCTTTTGGAAAAGCATACAAAGCAGTGCCATTATGTGCCATCCTCTAACTACTGCCGTAGACCAAACCTTTGCTATCTTAGCTAACAGGTGTAAACCACAGGCTGCCAGCATGGCCAAGCTAAAGGAGATGAGGCACATGCTTAAGCAAGTGATTTTCACTGATATTTGCTGGCACCAAGATGGGAAGATTCAGCATTTTCAGGAGACTGAAGGCTATGGAGTAGAAGTCCTTACAGGTTCACGCTCCTTTGTCTCTCTGATAAGACCAACTCCTTTAATTCATCCTTTTCAACATGCCCACCCCTCAACCCATGTGTCTTGGCCTGGTTCATTAACCCAGTCTTAATTCTTCTTACCTATCCAGTTTTACCTTATCTTATTGTATATTATTTTCTATTTATCCTTATTTGTCTCACTTTTTATTAAGTTTATCTTTCCTCTTCCCTACTTACTTATGAACTGAGTCTCTGTCCCCAAATTCCCCACCTCACTTTTTCACCTCACCTAAATTTTACTCCCATCACTGACTAAGAGATGACAGAGCTTATTGGGGTTTGAGGGGAATGAGCATTCACAAACTCTTTAGAGGTTTCAGAAATACAGATCTACTAAGCACGTATAAAACATGTTTTTTAAAGGTTATAACTTGGACAACCTAGGAAGGATTTTCTTAGGGAAGGTCAAAAGCACATTAGTATGTTACAAAGACAACCCATTCCTGACAAAACCTGGAGACACTATAGCACAGTAAAGAAGATGTCACAGAAGCCTTTAAGGTCTCTTCTTCAGCCTCATTTTCAGAAACAGTTAAGCCATATCGGGTGACATTTGCCAAAGTAAACTGGGCCAGAGCAGATGTGCATCTCAGAAAATTTTATTCCAAATGACTGTAGTTTCAGAAAATTGCAAGCAGCTGAAATGGGAAGACACAGTATGTGGTTCTGCCCATAAAATAAGACAAAAATGAAAGCTATTAGTATCATGTTGGCATCTAACTCGATGGCTGCTCTGATATCAGTGACTTGTCTGCAATCATGACAATAACAGAACAAAGAACATCATTCTATCTTGCGAAGTTTTTACCAACTGATTTTGTAAAGGTTGGATCACAGCAACAAAGTAATATTATTGCCCCCTATAAGCCAGGTATGTGCATAGCTGTTTTGTAACCTTCTCCTGACATATGCACCAGCTATTCATTTGCTGGTTTTGCACTGAACATTCATTATTATCAAGTATCTCATCCCTTGCCTGTAGGTTCTACTATTTTCTCTCAATTATAACTTCACTTTACGTTTGTCCTCTTCTGCATTGATACCCTTTCAGCTTTGGAGTTGCCTGCAAACCTCTTCAGAACCAAAGTTATGCCACGAAATATAAATCTGCTAACAACGACACAAAGTGGTCACATGGATACAGAATTCCTGTAAAAATTAAATTAGTCAAGAAAGACTTTTAAAATCCCAGAGAGACCTAAAAAGGGCTACAGTTAACAAGACACATGATTGATGAAATATGATTAACTGTTCTGATTTCGTAAGAGAAGCGGGTCTTGGTCTTCCACAGAGTTCCCTGTATTATTATTGTTGTTGCTGCTGGTTTTGTTGTCGTTTTTAAGCGCTAGGCCCCATGTATGTAAGTTTGCTTTAGGGATGGTGCAACAGAAAAAAAACTTGCTGGATAGGGGTGTTACCAAAAAACCCCACAAAGGTGGAGTCACTGCCCCTACACAAGGTTGCAGCTAAGCTGCAGCTTAAGATAATAACAAATTAATTTTATTGTAAACTTGTAGTTTATCTTGATTTGAGTAGATACAAGACTCCAGACCAAGGTTTACAAACCCCATATATATCTACATTTGATAGTTATTTAGTTCAAATCTTTTAAACATCAGTGTACTGCTTATTTAAAGTGCCTAACGTTTAGTAGGAAAAGCAGCAAAGACAAAACAGTGAATTGACTTCCAAAACTATCAGCCTTTGTCAATTAAAATATTTACTTTTGACACAAGTCCTAATTAGTTAAAAACATTCAATCCAGTCTTAAAATAGAGGTTCAAGCTACCCAATTTATTCTTGGAACAGTCACTGGCTCTCAGGATTAGGAAGACAATGGCATCCAGAGCAAGCATGAGCCCTCTCCCCTCTTATTACAGTTAATCAGGAACATAAATACTATAATGGAGCTGAGCCCCTGCAAACTCACCAGGCTGTGCATAATTTCCACTCCAGCTGGATTCACTGTGAGCGCTTCATCATACAATTGCCTAGCCTCCTCCAAATTGCCTTTCATCTCTGCAAGCCTCCCACGCATGTACAGTACAGCATGAGATGTGGGGAAAAGACTAGCTGCCTCCTGGATACAAAAGCCTGCTTCTTTGAGGTGCTGTTGTTCCATGAAGAGTTCAGCTAAAAAAAAACAAAACCAAAAACAAGAACCAAAAAACCACCCTACCGTTAGTTGAAATAAGTCAGAAACCTTTCTTCACATTAATTACATATCATCTCCCTTAAGCATATTAAAACATGAGGCCATGATCCTGCACAGTGCTTACTACTATGGTTAGTGCTTACTATCACAAGTGGATTGACTGAATGGATCCTTTTTTAATGCTAAGGGCCCTATATAGATGTTCATGGACATCTTTAGGTGCCTTAAGGATTCCTCAGTCAGGAATGTAAACAGGACTGAACTGAGCCCTAAGGAAGCAGGGCTGGTAGCCACTTAGAGCCATCATATATATTTCCAAATAATCTAGGAGAAAAGAACAGAATAAGCCATCACTGTCTACTGAGAACTTTAAACATGTCAGAGTAATAGGATACATCTGACTGAACTGGACATTAGCTAACTTTTTTAAAAGAGTATTTTGACATTTTAAAAGATGATTAAAAGTGTTTATCTCTGCTTATTGTCTGGTTTATGAGATAGCTGTCTCTTAACTTTTCAGACACTATTAAAATCAAAAGGCTTTTATCACAGAGACTTATTTATATTGTATATTCACACATTTACTTCCTCATACATACTCTACAGGAAAAGAAGAGAGAGCCCTTGGAAGAGACTGCTCAGTCATTTACTTCCTTCAACTATCAGCAACTCTCTTAGTGGTTTTCTTAGAAAAAAAATTGTAACAGGTATACTAATGTGCTTGACTGTCAATTTGTTAATCAAATAATTTCTCATGTTAAACATAAATTTTGTAACATATCTCATGGTTAAACTTTAACATTTCTCAGGATTTGGACTAGATCATCATTGGACTAGAGGATCATTGTGTTGGACTAGATGCTCATTGTAGGTCCCTTCCAACTGAAATAGTCTAATTCTAGATTTATTATGCATTAAATCCTTGCAAAAAGCTTCAAAAGCGATACTCAATTTTCACTGCCATGCATAACTTAAAAGGGAAACAGTGTTTTTAGATATATGCATGTATGTATATAAAATAATTCTCTCTCTTCATACAGCAGCCATTGCTCTTTGGTCCATGACCTGCTTGTGTTCTACATGTCATCCCTGCAAAAGCCCAAAGTCTTTTTTTTTTTCTTTTTAACTGACGTGATAATGCTGCAAGTATTGACAGTTCAAGAGTCCAATTCAAAATGACTAATTCAGGCTCCAGATTTAGATAAATAATTCTGAAATTAGACACAACCTTAAATGCCCTGACTTTTAAAGGTAGCGGATATTCTCCGGAAGTCTCTGTGAAGGTGGAAATTAGCCTGAAAAATCCTCATAAATAGCTCTGAAACTCTGTGAGTTTCAAAATGCTGGGAGACCCAGAGAGATGACTGTGGGACTTGACATGCCACCATGGAGCTGGGACCACAAATAGCACTTCTGTTGGCACACTGAAAACGATTATGTACTGTGGTGAACACCCTTCCACTTCTGAAGTGATCCTTCTAGAAGGAAGGTGAGACATCATTGAGAAAATGCTTGGATATTTCTTAACCATCCCTAGGTTGTGCTACAGATAAATGTCAATCTCCAAGGCTGTCAACACGAGCAAAACATTAGTTCCTTGGTAAGAGCTATACGGTTTAGGAGTGACTCACATACATTTCTTTCTGGTTAATCATTATAAAATCTCAGCATGCATCCCTTCCCTTGGCTCCAAGAGGCTGCAGCTATCTGTAATAACAGAAAGCAAGGCCATGTATCTTGTCAAGCTGAGTATGTGCGCAGCCTTATTCAAGTTTGTGGGAGGACAGTATTTTACTTGCACTTCCCAGGAACAGAGCATTTTCCTGCCAAGTGTTGCATAGCAGGTGACGCTGTGCATGTGGCAATAATGAGGATGGGGATGTACAAAGTGACGATTCACAGCCTGAAGATAAACACTTCATTTGCAAAGTTCGCACAAACTTAGCAGCACAAAAGAAGGGGTGAAAACCTGGCACTGTTTGAAGTCAGCAGAAGTTCTGGATACTGCCATATTAAAAGCTCTATTAGCAACTAACAGCATAATGCGACTTGTTTAATTTCAGAAAAGAATCAAGAGCAAGGGGGTTTAGATGTGAAATCACCCACAGCCGGTGTTTCAATGCATACAGAATAGAGAGTACTTATTCTTTCTTTCAACGGTGCCTGTAAATCTTCTTCAGTAATAACAATTATTTACAAGAAGTACAGCAACACAGAATCTAAATAAGATCTACAAATTGTGTTTTATGGTACGGTAATGTAGCATATTAAGGTTCAGTCCATTTCTTTGCAGGCTCAATAGTCAATAAAAAATGATTTAATGGTGTGGGAGGCCTAATTTGCATAAAAAAAGAACGAGAGAGGTGCCTTTGGGTTCGGAAAGAAGTGCCCCCACTCAGCTAAAAATAGACGTTAAGGGAAATTGTTTAGACCTGCATTAAAAGGTGTTTTCTGTAAACTCATTTTTCACTTCTATTACATACTCATTTTATTTAGAGATTAACAAGATACGCTTACGCAACATGGAATAAAAACACAGCTAGAGGCAGAAATCAAACCCAAAAACCAAGGACTCATTAAATTTATCATGGTAATACTACTGCCTCCTCAATGGTACTGAAAATACTGAAACACTTGCCTTTGCATTACCTGGGTTAGCAGCTTCCTGCCCACTGGATTATTCAGCGTATCTCCTTACATCACCTAATCATGCTGTAAGTAAACACCTAACCAAATTAGCAGCCCTCGCAAGAAAGTTCTGTTACAGAGACATGGCACCTGATTCCACGCCAAAGACGAGCCTGAGACTCAGGCTGACAGAGATAGAGAAGATCTGTAATTCTTATCCTGTGAAAGGTTCAATGCTTCAGGGAAACCATTTATGAACCTCCAGCTATTGGACTACATTGTTCTCGGTACTGACATTTTTTGCAGCTTTGAATCCAAAGGCCGTGTTTGCAACCTTCCTTGCTCTCAGTCACTTAACACCATCTTCATAAAAACTTAAATTTACATTCTGTTTTGAACTAAGTACCACCAAAGGCTCTCTGAATGCTACTGAGCAAAAAGGGATGACCATCCTGGATGTATCGCCTCCTCTATTAGCATCTCTGGAGTAATGCTAGAAATTCTGAGTGTGAATGTTTATTAGGAAATATTTCAGCATTTTTACCTAGAAGTATGGGCAGAGACAGTGCACTGCACGGATGGGCAAAGACAGGATGAATCGTGCATTGCTTCCTTTCATTCACTAACTGAAGCTTGAGCCTGCACCCACTGAGACCACGAGCAGCAATCCAGCTGACTCCAAGGTCCAGCCTAGCTTGATTCATTTCTTTCCCGCATCCACCTTATGCTCCCATCTGTGCTCTCCTGCAGTACTGTCCAGCCTGCTCTGCTGTTCTTCCAAACTGTCGTCTTCTCTTGTAGCTACGGCTGCCTCTGTCTTGGCGTTGCAACTAGACGTCCACGGATACACCAGTCTTAATGTCGGGCGCAGGCCCTGAGAGTAGCACTTATCTCCACTCACATTATCATTAACTCCTAATATGAGCTCCTAGTTCTTCCAGCTGTTTCTGCTAGCATTTAAACTCATCTACAGTGAAGATCCTTCATCAAGTGAGAAATTGCCAGCAGCTACTCACTCTCCAAAGACTGGTTACAAACACAGAGACCGAGCGCACTTCCCAGAACACTGACAAAGCCAGGTCTCCTGTGGTCAGACTCCTTTTTTCATCTCCAAGGTAACTTATTTGACAGACCGCTGTTAGGGAGTCCATCAGAGGAGTAACAACAGTGTCATGTAGTCATGTCTGCGTTATGGTGCTAGCCTGAGGAACAGAGTTGCCTGCCATCACCTTGAACGCTGACTCCATTGCCTGTTTCCTAAGTGTTTCAAAGCAGTGTCAAGAATGATTGTGCTTGTCACCACAGAAGCAGCAACAACTGTAATTCTAGCCAAAAAATAAAATGGATTTGAAACATATTTCTACAGTGTGAACAACCCAAGAGTTAAAATTTCATTCCTTGTGAATCACGTTCGGTGTTATCCAAGAGGCAGCACTTAACTCCCACAAGCAGACTGCTCCACATCACTCGGTTGTGTGCACCCGCTGGATCTAAAGCGCTTGTCTGCTCTCATCTACCCCCAAAATGCTACTGCATAGCGACACAGCCAGCGCAATGCAGCCACATGATCAGCAGGATGGTACAGTGGGGAGCAGCCCTTCACACTTTAAGAAGGTGAGAGCACCTGCGAGGATGCGTAGGGAGGCGATTTCTGTTTCACATCATCTGCCTTCAGGAGCTATTAATGCTTGTTACTGCAGCAGCCCTTAGCCAGCTGGAAAGACCCACTCCTCTGAGACAGCTCTGCCTTCAGCAGTGAATACAGAGCTATTACTGTGACAAAGGGTTCCCCCGCTGCCTTTCCTTTCTGGCAGGTGACGTTTTGTCATTGTTCTATATTATGACACCACCTTGCATGCAGTAGCTTGACAATTAGTGGGCAGATTAGATGGAAGATTCCTCAAGCCGTATCCTGACTACAATAACAGAAACTGCCGCTTGTTCCCATCCACCTAAGTCCCTTCCTCTTTTGAATGAGGCAACAGATTTACATCCTCAAAGGCTGCCTTTGCATGCAAACTGGTTGTTAACTGGAGTCCAGGGACTCAATTTAAATTTCCAAATTCAGGTCTCACAGGGGCTGAAACGGCCACTAAGCTTATTTACAAATGCAGCATTAGAGTGAAAATTTCTGGAAGCAACACAGAACTACCACAAGCTACCTCCTATACTAAATAGCGCAGTCAAAACACTGCTTGAATACTACAAGATAGCTGGTTCCTTTATGTGAAGTGGGGCCCTGCTCACTGGTGAGGAAGCAGCTCTTTCCCAGCTGGGTGAAGCAAGCCACCATCTTCTAGGCAATAAGGCCACCACTGCTAAGGGTGACATAAAAATTCTTCTGTTGGAA